TGTGTGTGACTCACAAGTGCCCTGAGCTCCAAAGAGGGGGATATCTAATGCTCTGAAGCAGCGGCAAACCACTTTCACCCAGTGCAAATAAGCAAACACAAGTACGCAAAAAACACAGAGACTGGAAGTGTGTGTACGACACTCAGGCTAACACAAAATCTGCACACACAAAGCAAATACGACCTTAAACGTAGGCTGGCTTCATTCTCCAGTGATGTTCTGCATGTAGGTGACAGTGAGCATAGTGGAATCAGGCAGTGAGAGAGCAGCGCCGCACAAAGTAAATAAAAACCTCAGGACACACTGTGCTCAGCCATGTCTGACCGATCCCTACTATTGTGTCACATCTAATCACATCCATCGGCTAGAACCAGCAGCTCCTGCGGTGCCACATTTGCCCTACTGCACTCCATATCTTTCCTCTTCTACTATACTATTTGGCAGAGCAGAAGTTCATGGCAGACTCTCAATGCTGCAGCCAAGTGGAATCAAAGTTTCACCGATAGCACAAACATCTGTGAAAAAGCCACAGCAATTTACTCAACCTTACAAAAGAAGAAATTTTGAAAAACATCTAAATTGGTTTTCATCGTGCATTCAAAATATCTTCTGTTGGGTTTCACAGAAGACCGAAAGTTAGGTATGGAATGAAATGACAAAAGAGTTCACATTCACAAAACAGCAAAATAGGGTTTTCAGTCCTGTGTTCGAGTCATTAATATGCTTGCATTCACACACATTGGTTATTTACGGGAGTGACAACTGCATTCTATTATAACCAAACTCACACCCACAAATTTTCAGGACTTACAATCATTTGTTCGGCGAAGCTCTGCTGTGTGATAGGGATGTAACGATTACCGGTTTGACGTTAAATCAAGATAAAATTCCCCACGGTTAGTATTACCGTTTCATCATTTAATTATCATTAAAACCGTATTAGATTACCGCGATTGGAACAACTCACGATAAATAAATACTGTCCAGTGTCCAGCATAAAGCACAGTTTTAAGTAAACTTTAAAGTCTTTAAAGTTTAAGTCTCACGTGCGCACAGCATGCAGAGTAGTTTCGTTTTGAGTGAAAACAGGGCGGAAAAGCTGGGAGGTTTTAAAATAATTATACAAATGAATATAGGCCTATGAATTAATTAATTATATGAATGTACCTCTGAAGGTTCTGACTGTCTTCAGAAATGATTCGATGGCATTTTGTTTTCATCTTCGCTCCATGTAATACATAAAGGAAGTGTTCTTAATCGCAATACTGCTTTGTCCACGGAGGTTACGGAAACAGCTCTATTTCAGCTTTTCCATAAGCGCCATCTGCTGTCAGCGAGTGGATTTACAGAGACTTATATTTACATTCAGCCTGTGTGCAGTTTCTGTCTGGCAAAAAACGGACCGAATTAGCATGCCCTGCTGTCAATTTTGACCAGTTGATGAAAAACAAGCTTATGTGGCTTCTACACATTTAAACAATCATAAGTTATCTAGAATTATTTATGGAGCAGATAAAATACATATAATTTATTAATCAATTATCATTTTGACATATCTTTTCTTTATTTAAAGGCTGAAATGTGAGGTTTACCTTTTTATGAAACTTTTTCAAAGCTTTATTTGAACATTTACATGAGATATTTCAACATGCTATTAAACTGTTGTCAGTCAAGTTGTCATTTAAAATCCGAACATCATTGGTAATGTTATTGTTTTAGTGATTATGCAAACAAAAAGTCATTTTATTTGTTGTTTGTTGATTTTTAAATATAAAACTTGAAGTGATTTATGTGTCGGTACTTTTTGAACATCTCCAGCACATTTTAACAATACTGTGATAATACTGATAACCGTGATAATTTTGGTCACTATAATCGTGATAAGAAATTTTCATACCGTTACATCCCTACTGTGTGAACAGAACCGGACTGGGCAACTAGTTTTCTGTCACGCGATCGCAAACGAGGGGGACCCTCAGCTTAGGGTGGCCCAGGACGCAGATAAGAGCGGTGTGGCATCTGAAGATTTGATCCAGTTTTGTGGTCTGAGTGTGACTAAAACGCTCTGCTCACTACAGAGGTATAAAAGCTGAGGTCGGTTAACTAAGATTTGATGGATGAAACTGTGCCTCAGTTGAACTTTTGTAGTGTCAAGTGTGATAAGACTTTGTATGTTGCCATCTTTGTTATGTACTTTGGACATGCGCAATGGTTACAGGTGATAATCCCAAACAGAATACAGGCTTGACTTCAGTTGCACATTCATACAGACAGTACTCAGGCCTCTATTGTAAGCTGCAGTGTGAACAGGACATTTTGAAACTCACTCCTAAAAGTAAATACGGTCATCAATCCCAAACACTGACAGTGTGAGTGTAGCCATATTCATTTTTAGGTAAACTATCCCTTTAAGTTGGCCTCGGTTTAGTGAAACCATCATGAAACGGTACTTGCAACCCATTTTAAGCTCATAATGTGCCTTATTTCTGAATAAAAATGAATATTTAACAAGGCAAAAAATGACTTGAAAGTTGATTTTACCCATTAGCAGTTAGGATGTTTAGGATCCATTAGGATGTTTAAAATAGGGAATTCCACAGACCCAATGCAAAACCCAACAGCCTGCACAGCCTAGGCGATGCCAGCAGGAGAAACAAGTTATTACATTTTGATGAAAACGTTTACGGAGACAAAATTTTTCCCCCTGAATTATGTGTGCTGATGCATTAGTGCACAGTAACACCTAGAAACTGTATTACAGGGTTAGTTCACCAACAAATGAAACTAGTATGACTTTTTCTGTGGAAAATAAAATATGTTTTTTGAGAAATGTCTCAAAGTCTGTCCCAATTTGTGTGCTTATGCATGCACTATCCTATGATTGTGAGTAATGCATTCAAATTTTCAAAGAGCTAAATACCCAGATGATGTACTTAATATAAAATTCATACACTAGATAGAGTACATTGTTCATATAGTGTACAGTGCGTCATTAGGATCATACAATGGAAGTCAAAGGTCACCAACACTCTTGGTTACCAACATTCTTCAAAAACATATTTTTGAATGAAAAGAAACACAGGTTTGGAACAACATGAGAGTGAGTAAAGAATGACAGACTTTTCATTTTTGTGTGTAAGGGGTGTTGACTAACATTCTCTCAAGGCTGTCACATTCATAAGCTAATGAAGCTACAAAACTCCTCCCATCAGCATCGGCATTATTATGTAAGAGAGAGACAGAGGTAGAAAGAGGCCAGGCAATATGAGCAGTGAGGTGTGGCTGCACTCAAGACACCGGAGAGCTCAGAGTGGATGAAACTGGTCTGGTTAAGACGAAAGCTGAGAGGGGAGCTTGAGAAGGTGCTGGCCTGCGACATCACCACAGAGCTGATGACTGCCTTAACATTCTCACATGCTCTCTATGGAGAAAATGGACTTTGATGGGAAGACAGAAGAGGGATTATAACAGAATTTAAAGCAAACATCTGAAGAAAATATAGTTTGTAACAAGCCACCTATGAGCTTGCATCAGGATCTGTTGGTAAGACTGTAGCTGGCAAACATAGCAATGTCACTCAATTAAAAAAAAAGAAAGAAAAAAGAAAACATGCACCATGCAACCGAGAGGAAATGAGAATGCATTTTGCTTTCAATGTTCAGCTCAAATACGACTGCACACAACTACACCAAAGAGACAGTGTAGGACCTGCTTGCAATGTTTACAACAACGACATACTAAAGTTACGATAAAACGGAAGTAGTGACAAATCTTTTCTTCTGGATTGTGGCGTACATCCGAGTGTAATGGATTAACGAAACAAAAACATAATAATAGGGCAGCTCTTGGTTCTACACTCTAAAAAATGCTGGGTTGTTTCAACCCAACTTTGGGTCAAATATGGACTAACCCAACCGTTGGGTTAAATTTTTACATTAAATTTTTAACCCAAAAGTTGGGTTAGTCCATATTTGACCCAAAGTTGGGTTGAAATAACCCAGCATTTTTTAGAGTGTATGCATCACTTGTTGATTCACTGGAAGATTGAGTTATGACATTCTGATTAAACATTAAGAGGTCAAAGCATTTTCAAATAATGAAGCATGCATGGATTAATTGTTCACAATAAGCTCTATAACATGCATTTAGAAAATAGATTTTTATTTTTTTTATTTTCCATTTCGTCTTTAAAATCTTACCTTCATTTTAGTCCTCCTCAACATTCTTTACACATTAAACTCTCATATTATTACAAAACATAACCTTCCCTGTGAGCACCAAAACACTATACTATATTATTTCAAGTGAACACCCACCAAACCAAACAGAGAGACCACCCACTTGAGCAGCTATTATGGTTACAGTCACCTGGTTACAATCTGAAGAAAAGATACTGGTAGAAACTAAAACTGCTTTCACTTGCTTAATGGTAGAGTATCACTTCTAGCTGCAATAGTCCCTGTGGACACATAACAGGGTATTATATACTCTGTTCTAGGATGAACCATTATGAAACAGGTGGATATGTGGAACAAAGCAGTGTTCATCTGTAGCACCATTAAAGCAAGTACACATATACAGGTTCTTTTCTCCTGTATAACTCTTCCACGGTAATGAAACACTGCGGTGAGAGTATCAGACCTGCTGATCAGTTCAACTCCAGACTGGTTTTCCATTCATGCATTAGTATATATAGGTTTTGCTCAAGGACACATGGCTGAATAGTGATTCGCCGAATATCAAATCCCAGTCAGCTGTCAACCTAAACAGAGTCTGAGCATCATTCAATTCAAACGTGATCAAATACGCTGTCTAACTAGACGGCTCAGTGGGTTCTGACACCCAGCTACGGGTTCCTCCCGGGTGACTCAGGACCGTGAGCCGTAAGAAACCTGAACAGCCCTTGTGTGTAACGAGACTCATGCCGCGTAAGTTACAGGTGATCAAAACATCAAACGCGAGTTTTCAAGAGCAGCGGAGGAGATTTTAGATCATATCACCTTTGGCTTCGCAGTCGGCGCAGTATTTGTTATCATCCTCTCTCAGCATTTTGGACAGAATGGCCTGATGCTGCTCGTTCAGTTTCTGAGCCTTTTCCCTCTCCGATCGCGTCGTCATCTCGGCCCGTTTTCTGTCAGCGTTTCTGGATAAAATCACCTGTCTTGCCCCCGATTCACTCTGTTCAATTGTATCGTTATAGATGGAAGACCATCCCCTGTGAAATGAAACTGTGGTGGGCTCACGGCAACGGAGCGGCGGCTTGGTTGAGATAGATCGGCGGAATATGGCCGATTGGAGGAACTGAGCGGAAGCGGAAACGGAGACGAGGAAGGTACAGTGAGCCGAATAAAATAGAATTAAGAAATACGGTGAATTGGGAACTGGGAGAACGTTTAATCAAATCTAAGTGTTATATCATTTTTTGCCGATTTAAAAGTCAGACTCTTGCGTCATTGCTGAGGTATGTATGTGTTGGTAGGTTGGACAGCCGGTTTGACGCGAAATATCTTTAAATCATATCTTACATTAACGTTACTTAGAATGGTGTCACTGGCCAAATATTTAAATCCTGGTAAATAGACTAGTTTACTTTGGCAAAAGCTATATTACAAACTAGGTGACATTATAAGTAAATTTGCGAACGTTTAATGTCTACATTTTAAACTGTGACAATACACTTTTTAATAAATAATGAAATTATTACAACTTATTAAACTTTAACCATGCAAAGTTTTAGCCACTTATTTTAAATAAACATCAAAATTATTTAGAGACAATATATAAAATACAAAATACTATGAGAAAAACGACACCGTTCAGCAATGTATACCTTATTTATTGAATTTGTTTTCTAGATTCATCATACTCTGCAAGATATCAGCCAATTTTCCATCGTTTGTTCAGTTTTGTGATCTTTGCAGAGTTATTATAGTAATAGCCTACCACTATCATGGTAAATTATCATTTAAATGCTGATCGGGCTTTCTCTCCCAGCCTTGCTGTTGTGCCCTGATAATGCATTTAGCCTCTCCTTAAATGCTGATATGGTACTGCTTATCTGTAACAATCCATGTGCAGATACATAGGAAAACTTTTGCAGTAATAACTTTTTTTCCCCACGAAATAAAACTGAATCATTTACATGATATTAAACACAAACACATGTCCTTGTGACAAAACTTTCTATGACTGTATGAAATCTGACAAAAAAATATATATGTTGAATATGTTTATTCTTTGAAGAGATCTTTCAGGCCTTGCAGACTTTGTTACCCACTTTCAAAGAGAATAAAAACATTTGATTTCTAATAGCAGATTCTTTTCAAAATGCCAATTAAAGGCTGAACAGAACCATTCAAGTAGTTCAAACTACTTTTACACAAACTATTCATCCTACATAGTAGATCCATACAATCGGCAAAGACAAACATTCCAGACATTCTCTTTTTGTATCTGTATACAGAATTATTACTCACATTCAAATGTTAAAATAAATACATTTGGATATTTTTAACAGGGCAAATTAAAAATCAATACAACGTCCCTTCCTCTCCCAATCACCATATCGTGTAGGATCAGGACCTCTGGGACCACCTTTCTCCTTAGTTTCTGGATTCACATCATCTGGAAATCCTGTTAAAGGGGAAATTAAATATTGTTCCATTTTATGTCATTAATTGTATAAACTTAAAATACACTTAATTAGTCATTTATTAAAAAAGAAAGAAATTCTGAGCTATAGTTCGTGTATAGCCAATCCTTTCAATAGATACCTTATATGTAAATTATTGTACAATAATAATATAACTGTATAACAGAAATGACGTGTGTTCTTACGTTCAAAAACAACTTTAGATTTTGACTCGGTTTCGTCCATGTCAAAGCGTCCTTGGGGCGTTTTTGCTTTCTTTAACGGTTCTTTATCTTTGGCCACACCACCAGATGCATATCCTGCTGTCCTATGACATGCTGCAGATACATAGGAATAAGAGCAGCGAGACACAGTCGCAAACTGACATGTATACTCGAACACGATTCTCAGTAATAAATATAAAGGACGTTTAGAAATTATGCATATCAATATGACATTTGTACAAATCGATGCCTGTTGTGCAAGCATGTCAATGAACAGTTAAAACCCAATCAAAGGTATTCAGGTTGCACTCACCAGTATAAGTCGACTCTAAAAATAATCCTTTCTTTACAAAACCTCTAACTGTAGTACAGCAAACATGTAAAAGAGACATTTTGCGTGGATGCTGTACTAGTCTGTTGTGAGCTTTTCCCTTGTCGCAGCAGAAAATTACACAACTCAAGAATGTTTTGACGATTGAAAATGACGATGCACGCGTCATCATTTAGGGACACAAGATACACTCGAGAGGATCGCGGCGGCGCTACAGAAGTGCAGAGTCGAATGTTACGTATATTTACATCTGCTTTGCATGCGTCTTTTCAAAGCGAAGAACAGATGAGGAACTCTATGAAAATCAGTTACAAAATACTACAAAATAATACTTAGATTCCCTGTGAGACATAAGCGGTAAAAAAATATATATATATAATTTTACAGAACTCAGAAAATTACAAAAATACGGTTTTTGATGGTACCATGCCAATGCTATAAAAAAATAACGAGCTGAAAAACTATGATATAGCCTATTATGCCCGAAACACAACTATAAAGGGACATTTGATGAATTAATGAATTAAAGTAAATTAATTTGATGGAATATGTGACGCGATTTTTCTTAAAGGCAGAGTAAGTGATTTCTGGTAGCCAATGTTGATATTTGAATAAAACAAACACGCCCCTACCCCAAAAGGGTCTTGCCCCTATTTTGATAGCTCCGCCCCACATATACGTATGCAACCCAGGCAACGATTAGTTCTGTGAAACAAAGCAAAACCAATGTTACACCGTGTCTACATCGGATGTGAGCGGCACAACGCAACAAATCCCCGACAGAAAACTGCTGCCGGGTTCTATTTATGACGTGCTGACACAAATTTCAAATGGTTTTCAACGGTCGTTTGATCGCGTCCAGTGTAGGCAGACTTTAGCTGTTGTAGACACAGTGTTACTCACCAACTGAGAAGAAACAAAGCAACCTCGGCGTCCGATCGCAGGCCTCCGCTCCTTGAGTTCTCTCCAGCGCTGGAAAGCTGATCCGATATTTACACGGGTCCTACTTCTTGCCTTATCATTCCGCAGACGTTTTCCTCTTTTGTTTTTTATCCGCCATCTCTATCTTTCTGTCGCTCAGCTCGGCTAATGTCCGTCCCATGCACTGAAAGCTCTCTCCTCCACATCACGAGTAGACACGCCCCTTATTGCTGATTGGCTACAAGTTTGTTTTGCTATTCGGCCGAATCAGTTTTCTAAAGTGTTTTTGAGAAATCACATACCCTGCCTTTAATTGCACTGAAATACAAAAAGAAATCAAAAACACTCTTCATCATGCAATACTATGAATAAGATCTGTTTTGATAGACATATGGATTCAGATAAAGTGGGCCACCTAGATGTTTTTTCTTTTCTTTTCTTTTTTTATTACTTTTGTTAACTTTAAGGTCCAGTTATAATATTTCAATTTGAATACAGTTCATATAAAGTGTTATTTGCAAGCTATAATATACCAATAAACATTTTGAGATGCACTCCAGACAAAATTATTTTCAGGTAAAGTGGGCCATTCCTTATTTATGAAAAAATTATTCTGCATCTTAAAAACACATGATATATATTAACACATATTATCAGACAAACATATTTAACCAACCCAAAATTATATAACCTATAGGTTATGAGTAAAATAAATCATGTGTAAATCCTTGTCTCAATTCATGTGTGAAATTCCAGACAACTGAAAGAACGTGTTGTGTTGACATTGAATTTGATGAAATCTGAATATCAGAATATTCAGAAATCAGAATATTGCCAAAAATTAACTCTACAATATATTAAAAATGTGACTATAACACAAGCAACAGCAAAAATTAATAAGAGGAACATTTAAAATGGTAAATATGTAAAAAAAAAGTTTTCTGTCTATGTTCTCTAAACACTTTAAATGAACTTTAATTATGTTCATATTTTAAGCTTTATATACTGCATCTACATTTTGCTCCTCTCATCCTTTCTTCACTCCACAGATTGAACTTCATGCCTCGACTTCCTTTCTATTCTTTTTTTCCTTTCTTCCATCTCTGACTTGAATTTCCTGACTGCAGTGTCATTTCTAAACAAGTAAATTATACAAGTCATCTATAAAATAACCATTGAATGTCAATTTATTTAATGAATTTGAGTATAATAACTGAAGGTTAAAGGTCGGCCCAATTGACCTGAATCCCACTGGCCCACTTTATCTAACACATTCAATGTGAAACAATGTGTATTGTGAAAAGCGCTATACAAATAAATTTGAATTGAATTGAATTGAATTCAGCCAAAGTGGGACAGCAATATGTAAACACCTTACAAGAAAACTAACAAATTTAAAAAAAACATTTATTCTCTGCATTTTATTCCCTGTTAACTCTAGTAACAAACAAAGCAGGAACTGTCCCAATAATATTTATTTCCATTTAGTGAGCAACCTTATTAATTTAGAAATGAAAATCTTATGTCGAAGCGTTTTCTATCTTTCACCATATAAGGCAGTCCTCCTTTAAGGTGTGGCCACACCCAGCAGTGTCATGTTGCATGTAAGACATATGTCAGACATTATAAAATGTGTAAAATACAATATGAAAATAATAGGCTATGCGTGAGTCTAAACGCGCCCTAATGTTATAAAAAAAATAAAACAACTGGGAAATGCGAGTCCACTTTATAGCAGTCGGTTCTAAATGTCCAAAATATTTTACACTCTTATAGAGTTAGCATAGCCTTTTTCTGGAAATAGATTAGGCTATATTTAACTTTATTTTATGTAGCAACACACTAGCAGGTCCCTCGTTACTCTCGTTATTAATTAAGAAAACATCGTTAGGGAAATTGTCAGGTCCAAAGATGGCAAAGTATCTTCAGGAAATTGTAGTATCCCCCACATTAATACTGTGTGAAATACTGCCAAACAAGGCCTAATGGAGGCCTACGCATACGCAACTATCGCGGAGTCACCTACTTTTTAAATCAATACCGTTTATAAGACATTATTAACATATGTTTATATGTTATAGGAAAGTAGGCCTTCGTAAAATCAGCCTTCGCCTGTCATTATTTGGGGTCCATTACGTCGTATGAAGTATATGGCCCTATTTTACCCACTTTTTTATTCTGGCCAAGGGTTCGCGACTGCGTTCCTATAGCGAAGGCCTAGTTCTGACCTAAATGACTTCCATCTCTTAACATTCTGGAACGTTTTAAACGACACTTATGTAACACATTATACGATTTCGGAAAAGATGATGAAACTTAAACCACCTTCCGATATTGGATAGCCTATAAGCTTCTGGTTATTTTCAGGAACACCATCACATCTGCACACACTTTTGCACTCTCCAATAGAAAAGAAAAAAAAAAGCCCTCCATTTATCATGCAACCAAAACTGTCATTCACTAGAGAGTCATCACAGATATGCAATGCTATCTGGGATCTATCCACAATGACAAAACCTGCGTGGTGTTGCTATAGGTTATAGTTATACTCAACAAAAAGCGCTAAACAAATCGAACCGTTAGAATGACCCAGTCTGAAAAACGTCTGAACATCTGAAAGTCTGAAACATGACCACAGATATGTAATCATTCGTATCAAGCTATAATAAAATATATTTTATACACGCCGACATCTCCGAAGAACGTGAAGGACAAATAAAAAAAATCTTGTAACATATCAGTGCTACCAAGTTGGTTTGCCTTTTGATAAACTGTTGCTTGTGTAAAATGTAAATTCAGACAATAGCCTAAATGTATAGACTTTAGTACAGGTGTTATTGGGCATTGCATTGATATTTCGTCTTTGTCTCTTTAATTTCAAAGAATAGTTAAAGTTAAAATTGACAAATAATGTAAAATGAAGAACATATTTGCTAACAAACAATGTTTCTGGAACGTCGCAACACCATATTTCTGCATATAACAAGTGCTGTATAGTAGGTCACGCCTCCGAATAAAAAAGACAGTCTAAACACAAGCATGAAAAATTTAAGTCGTTCATGTAGCCATAGGCCCATTTTTCCTGTAGAATATATTTTAATTCACAGGACTATTTTTTGCTGCAAGTGATATGCTAATTAGCAAACGTGCAAAATACAATCCCTCCAAGTAAGCCTACATACGAATATGAAAAAATAAAAATAAAAAGATAGGCCTATCGAAAAATAAATTGGTAACACTTTATAAAAAAAATTTGTTCGTAATTATAACAATATGTAATGCTCATCAGCGTATTAGTTGGATGCAGTTAAAAGAGTAAATTAGTTCGAATAAAGCTCTGATTAGCAATAGCGTGATGCAGCATATAGGTTAGCCTATTTATTCGTCTATAATGATATCCGCCTGTTCATCAGTTATAGGCTATAGCTTTTTACCCAGAATCGCCTATTTAAAACTATTAAAATAGCCTACTTTTTACTTTAAAATTATATATTTAAATTTAAACTCCTTTGTCTTCCAAGTACCCACATAAATAGCCTAACTACAATTTTGCCAGTGTTTTAAGTAGCCTACGTTTGTCCAACACTAGTGCCTACACTCACTGAGGGAACCGCGGCTGTAAATGGTCAGATGGTCTGTGAGTTTAATCACCGTTATTTTGGCAAGCAGATCCTCAAGCATTTCGTTTTCACTCGTTTGTGGGTTAAAGAGGTGCAAGCTTCTCGGGGTGTGCTTGAAGAGTGTGAGGTGGTAGCCTATCTTTTCACCCTGCATGTGTCTAATCCTGAGAATGACGAGGATATTAATTATAACGAAGCTCACAGTATTTCCATGCACAACAGAGAGGTGGCGTTTAGATAGCTATTCACCAATAACGCAGTGGTAACAACTTGTAATTATATTCGTAATTGTATTCGTATATATATTATATATTCGTTTTTATTTGTTAATATTTTATTTGTAATATTTTGTGACTTATTAATGAAAGTTAGGCTATTATAAAGTGTTACCACAAACGTTAGGCTATTGGAAGTATACCAAATAAAATTAATGCTTGAGATGCAAGCGGAATACGACAGCATTGTATGTTTACATTTTGTTGAAATCGAAATGATGAAATCAATAAAAAATATTCTGCACGACTGTAACGGAGAGCAGCAAATATTCTTTTAGCTGTTTTTTTACAAGCTGCATATTACAAATGAAAGACTGATTTTACGTTAAAAAGAAGAAAGTAATGTGATGTTGAAA